GTACTGCTCGGAAGTCCTCAAGAAGTCGCTGCCTCGACATGACTCAGAGCTACATGCTGCAGCCGCATTTTAACAAAGGATTTAATAATTATTTTGATAACGATATATTCATGCATTTCAGAAAATTGGGTAAGAGTTCTGAAAGGTTTGGGTTTTTTCACCCTCAGCAGCATGACATACCATCGATGCACTGTGTGGCCACGATTTCTTCTTCCTCTGAAGCATCATGTATGAACCATAGTAGAATAGCATGCATTACTTACTGTCACACTCATGCACACGGCTCCCTGCAGGCAACTCTCCTGAGGGCCAAAGCAAACTCTGCAACAGAGGCAAAGCAGCGCAACATTGGTGTCTATCCCCAGCCCGCCTTCCCTCTTCTGTTGTGTATCGCATGTGGCCTGGATGAGAGCAAAGGTCTTCGCAGGTACGTCTGTATTATCTGATGGATTTCCTCTGCTTCAGCACCTGAGGTTGTTGGCTCTCGTGAAAGGGTTTCATGTGGAGCGTCAGCGTACAGCATGGGGAAATCCTTCCCTTTAGCAGCCATCGGTACCTTTGTTGCATGACATGACGTGATCCAATGGCTGTATTGTTTCCCTGTCGAGCATGGAATTCCCCCAATATGTCCCTACTCATTTACACCATATTGTTGGAATAAATCCAGTTTCCTGTGCTTCAGACTTTTGCTAAGCGGTGGGTAGGACTCGTTGGTTGTTAAGTTTTTCCGCACTCTTATTTATTTACACGTCCGTTGCTGCTCGCTATCTGTTTCGCTGTTCAGAGTGGGCAGTTGCCTGCCGAGCGCTGAAGCCAGAAGTTCCTCCCTTAGCCCCACACCCATCCTCAGAAGTGACTGATGGGGGTTTGGCAGGACGCTTCTCCACCGGCAGCTGGGAGAGCCTCATGTGATAAGAACACAAAGTGCATTCACCGAGTTATTCCCCAAAAATCATAAATCATTCTCCTACTGTCTGTGCTTGCTTGCTAAGGGAAAAAAATGCCCCGAGATCAACCTACTACTGTTCAACATTGTACCAAGAAAAATGGGCCTCAGCAGGTTGCCAGGATTTGTTGGAATTAGACATTTTTATAAAAAGCTACATACATTTCTTTTTTCGTATGTTGTACAGAATGCTGATAGTTTAGAGAAGGCAGTAATTTATATTTCCTTGTTTCAGCTGAGTTTTTTTCCCAGATGAGGTTTTCTCCCGGTTAACTGCAATTCACTAGTAAAATGTTTATGCCTCTCTTATATTTATTATCTGTTAAATATTGAACGCTAGATTTGAAATGCTGCACCTGGGAAAATATGTAAATACTGTATGATACAAAGTTCTGTTTAATCAGAAGTGTGCAAAATGTATTTGACCCTGTAAAATGTGGTGTTTCGCACATGAAACAACTGAATACAGATTTCAGGTGTACTCAGTGACTAAACTTCTACAAGTTTGGTGGGGACTGAGGACAATCAAAGCTTCAAAGACGGGAGATGAATCAACTCAGGTCTCAAGGCAGTTGAGTTAAACACACAAATAGTATGTTTATGTGGGATGAGAGATTATAACTGTGGCATTTAACCAGGACAGTGATGCGGGATGACAATAACAGTCAGAGTCCATATCTTATAACAAATAATTTCAGAGACGGAACAGACTTTTTGCAACACGGTGGACTTTGTGCTAAACAACATTTGTATTAAAGAGCTCATACTCTATATAGTCAGTAAAGCGTAAGTAAAATGGATCAAGGACTAGCTAACATATTTCCACAGATAATTGTTAAAGAAACTCCAATGTATGAAGGGGGTATTCATAGTAGAATTCCACAGGTACTGGTATTATGGCCAACACTAGTATTTTTCTTTGATATGGAATTAAAGATAAACTTAGTTCTAGCATAATTTCTTAATTAAATGAGAGCAGAACAGTTACACATAGCACAGACACACATTAAGTACTTGAACTATAGCTGCATTTTGTGGCAGGAAAGCTGAGAAGCAGAGGTGTACTTTAATTTCCAAAGCTCCCACCATTCATGTGGGGATACAGCAAAACCATGCAGCAGCTCCTTTCTGGCCTGCACAGCTGAGTTTCTTCTTGGGGAAAACCGGGACGTGAATTGGAGGGAATCACAGATGGCCAGGGCTCTTTTTGATATGGAGTTCAGCTATTACCAGATGTAGGCGAATCCTCTGTAGTTATCAGAATATTTGAGACACAATTGAGATAAGCCTAGTCCATTTAAATATGTAAATTGAAAAAGCAAGTTTTACACTGAGGAAAAAGGAGGAATACACCTTTGATAGCTGAGATCCCTTGAAGGGCTCAAGGGCCCCTTTAGGCAAGAACATGAGCTCTCTTGCAAAGTACAGAGCAAAAAGGAGTATTAGACAACTTAGGCCTTGGATGATAGGAAGGCCTCTGTGTAGGAGAAGGAAACGCTTCCTCTGCATAGAGCACTAACGGGAGTATTACACACAGCTCTTGTATTCACCTTTATTAAATTATATTAAAGAATTTCAAAACATGTACAAAAGAATCATAAAAGTAATGTGACATACTGAAACTTACTGAGATTTATGAAAAGGAACAAGGAAAATGTAGATCCAAGGTATTTACTCGATATGAGTGAATCATGCTGTATGTGTGTTGATACATAGAAACTGCCCTAATACCCAGAGAAGTAATAATGAACATCTTCATTGGTCAAAAAGAAAAATAAAGGTGTGATATTTTTGTTACATGAGAAGGTTTGGATTGTTTGCTAGAGTTGTTTTCAATTGGTAATAAGGTGCAAGGTTAAAGTGTGATATTATAACCATGGTAATAAGTGTCAAAATAAATTTGGTTAAAGTAATTTGCGTAGCTGATACAATACATATCTTGATGCATTAATTGTTCTGGTTCAGAAATAATTAGAAACTAAATATGAAAACAAGACAGTATCAGTGGTAAAAGCCACATTTAAGGGCACGCAGTCTTAACACCCTGAGAATTTTGAATGCTGTACCACTTTTGAGGGGATACATTAAGCTAAAGCTCTTGGTCAGATCTGACAGTCAATAACTCTGGAAGGCTTGATCTATTTCATTCAGCAAGAAGACAGTGCATAAATATTTTTATGGAGAGAATCTACCCGATATAAAGTGCACTCATTTCACTGGATGGCTGAATAAATTGAAATTAGAAATTATGTAAAACAAAAGAAGAGCACTGATTCAGAATCACTGAAACTACCAATAACACAGTAAATTCTCCAATTTTTCAAGTCTGGATCCCTTTCTACAAGATACATGTGCGTCAAATGCAAGCTGTTTTGCTGCGTGTGGGGATAAACAGTTGTAATGTTACAGTGATGTACTATATACTTGATAAGACTCAATGTTCTGTTGGTGCTTTCTGGACTCGTGAGCAATGAATGTGTGAGTCGCTTCAGAACAGAAAGTTAGTTAAGATTAGGAGTTAGTTTTAAGATGTCTGTCTTTGTCTTCTTTTAAAATAAATTAGGCTAGAAAAGTTTTAACCCAGCAAATAATTTGTATTACATTACTGTTACTATAGCATGGGATACGGAGGTTTTCATTTCTACATTATTGTTTTAATGAAAGTAGCCTGGTTGATAATATTGCAAAGGAAAAAGACCAAGCCAAACAAACTTGAGAGTCTAACAATGTTGAGAGAGAGCCTTCATGAGTAGGCATATTGCTTAAAATAACTTTATATTAAATGAAATGACATATTAAGGGAAATGTAAATATACATGAATATATGAATGTTCTAACACAAGTAATAACAGTATTGCATTTTAAACTTGGCTTTCCTAAGCTAACAATATATAGGCAGTTTAACATTTTCCACAGTAAATACTCAATTTGCTTAAATCTTCATTTTATATTCAGGAGTAAAGATAAATCTAAATTATTCAAAGCAACACCTCAAATAAAAAGCTACTTCCATAGAACAGATAAATGTTACAGGTTATGTCCAGTCAGAACTATTACCTTAGGTGTGAGAGTAGAGAAAGTACTGTAAATTCCTCAAATGCCAAGCACATAATAAAAAGAAGGCAAAGAAAAATGTCTACTGTTCACTACTATTTTAACAAGAATTTTCACTAGGCTGTCATTTATGTTGAGAATCATCTGACCGAACATTAAGCACTTAGATGTTAGATGGCTAGTACCAGTTAGTTAAGATCCTCTACAGAGTAAGTTCCTCTATAATCCATCATTTGTAATGCATTCCTATTTCTAGAGGGTGAGTTGTTCCATTTTCAAAGCTGTCCAGAGGTAGTACTCTCTTTACCTACTCATTCCTCTTTGATAACATATATTAGACCAGTTGAAGTCAGGTTATTTGAAGCCCAGTCCCGAGCAAACTTGTTCCTAAGCCTTTTATAGCTGGACAGCCTATGTCCTCCTTGTCCCCCACACTAGGACATCCTGGCAGATATAGGGCAAACAGGCTGTAACATCGTCTATATGAATTTCCCACACAGCAAAATACAGGCCATCGGAGCTTTCAGAGTTCCTTAGTAGGTTGCAATACTAAGGGATGTGGATAAAAGGTCTGGAATTTTGGTATCTCAAGAATGCAAATATACACTGATGCTAATTTCACTGTAGAAAAAACAATATAGATCTCAAACTTCAGAGATCTAATCAAATAAAAAGGAGCTCCTCAAATCTTATTTGGTTGACTTCAAATGACTTTTTAGATAAAATTGTCACGTGTTTTGAAAACAGCTGGAAATGTTAATAATTTTGTTCCTGAACAGCCTCTGGCTACAGTAAAAAAAAAGCAAAGTTATTCCAAAGCATTACAGATCGAGCACAGCCTAGTTTAGGCCACAGAATGAAAGGGAGAAAAACTTTAAAAAGAAAGAAATCACTGAGCCCTGGCCCAGCTATCGGGCTATTTACTATTTGTTGCATTTCCAGAAAAAGCACTCCTCTGTCTGGAAAAGATTACCCACATTGTAGCTTTGTTCGGTTTGTTTTATATGCTACTTTGTAACTCCACTACTCCAAGACACTTTCTTAGTTCTGCTGCCTTCTTCTCCAACTGCTGAACGTTCCAGTGCCATTGTCTTTTACTTGAATGGAGTTTGTTCAGTTGGCAATGCAAACGTTTTAGAATAGCATCGTATCTTTTATTCTGTACCTAATAAAAGAGAATAAAATTCACTTCAAAATTTCTTTCAAGTAAAACTACTTACAGAGGTGGATTCAGCTCACCTAACTCTGTCTAAGTGAAGATTCTGACATTTGACCAAGTCATTCCGTGTTCACTTTATAGCTACTGAAGAGGCACAGACGTCTAAGAAGCAATTCACCTGACTTATTTCAGATATCTGCTTTAGGACAATATGAATCATGCCTCTCTTTCCCACTAAGGGAAGGAAAAGCTCTGTCCCGCTAAGAGCTTGAATGAGGAGTTCAGTGTGGGTATCTGCTCTGTAGATGTCTAAAATTTAACGAAGTAAATCCCGCCCAAAGAGTCAGCATCTCACAGCTGTGGCAACACTCTGTACATGGAAGATTTCAGGCTCCAGAGAGAGAGGTGAGAAAGGAAGAAATCTTCATTCTTTGACAAGTGTGTTTGGGTATAAACTAGAACACAAATGAGGCAACCTAGATGGCTGTAGTAGCACCTTCGCTGTTGCACTGCACTTAAAAAGGTATGTTTTTCTCAGAAAGGCAACACTGTGACAATGCAGTACTGTATCAATTTTGCCCTCATTGCTGCCTTACGTGAAGAATGGCTGCTGCAGACAACCCTCTGAAGATTTGCATTCTGAAGTGTAAAAGCATGAAACATTCATTATAATAAAAATGGAAATAATGGGAATTCACATAATGAAAATTTGGGCTTACTTACCCTAGTTTGAATGGCATATGAGTGGTAGTGCATAATTATTCTTGCATCTACTTATTGAAACATTATTACACTGTATTTAACATACATATGATGGTATACAGCTGCATCAGTACTACGTAATTGCCAGTGACTTGCTGCCTAAATTTCACATATAACTACCTCCCTCCCTCCCTCACTAATGTTTTATAAATTACACTGCCTTCTTTTACTGTTGATGGGTTGTTGTTCTTCATGTTGCCTGGCTCTCCACTATAATTCTTCACAACTTTGCGAGGGATGCTGTCAGATTCACTCATCTGAATGAGTGCTTGCAGGATCTGGATGTCACTAGGACTGTGTTGTATGACACTGACACATCTATGATCAGTATTATCTGCTTTTTTTTGAACTGTGTCTCTAGCATCATTATTGGGAACTGTCTGGCACATCTGCTGAGGCAGGGAGCACTAATACGCTTACTGGACAGAGGGGAGGGAGAACATTGCTCTTTTTACTGGGCCTTGTGTACATAGAAGTTAACCATTAGAAAAAATTGGGCACTCATGGAATCTCCACCACTGGGATCATTCAAGGACAGGAGAGACAAGCACCTGCCAAGAATAATATAGCCGCAAACTGATGTGGGTAAAAGAGGGCAGCAGGGGAATAGACAGTCTTTTGAACTTTCTTTTTCATATTATTTTCACATAACAACCTGTTTTCTACTATTTGTGGATGTCTTGAGTTAGTCTTTATGACTGAAGCCTTATTAATTAGCAATGCCAGATCACCGACTTTCCTTGGAAAAAATGAAGCTTAGGCACAAATTTCCTCGCAGAAAGACATTTAGTCAATTATTTTTAACTGTCCAAAATCCAGCTGCTTTAGAAAGGCACTCCGAATTACATTCCTGCACTATGTGCCTAGTTGGGGAAATCTTTGTGGGGAACCAGAAATAACACTGAGGCAAAGTGGGAGCACCAGGGCTGTGAGAGTCAGTCCATTCTGTTTGAGTGCCAGCTTAGCCATTAACGAGGCTTCAACAGGAATTCTGTAGGCATTTAAGTATGGGGCTGTATAGGGGCAGACTTAGACAAGTGCTTAAAATCATTGCTGAATCAAGGCTCCAGAAGTCCTACAGCAACAGCAAACTCATTCATCAGATGCGATGACTTGCTTGTATCTGGAGGCTTAGAAACCTGGGAGCTCACATACTCTTTGCAAATTTATGAATCATAGAATGACAGAATGGTTTCGGTTGGAAGGGATCTTCAAAGATCATCTAGCCCAACCCCCTGTAACAGGTAGGGACATCTTTCACTAGATCAGGTTGCTCAAAGCCCCGTCCAACCTGACCTTGAACACTTGCAATGGTGACAACTTCTCTGGGCAAGCTGTTGAAGTGCCTCACCACCCTCATCGTAAAAAAAATCTTTCTTATGTCCAATCCAGACCTACCCTCTTTCAAACATTTAAAACCGTTGCCCCTTATCCTGTCGCTACAGGCCCTGGGAAAAAGTCTTTCTCCGTCTTTTGTACAAGCCCCCTTTATATATTCAAAGGCCACAATAAGGCCTCCCCGAAGCCTTCTCTTCTCCGGGCTGAACAACCCCAACTCTCTCAGCCTTTCTTCACAGGAGAGGTACTCCAGCCTTCTGACCATTTTCGTGGTCCTCCTCTGGACCTGGTCCATGTCTCTTGTGCTGGGGACTCCAGAGCTGGACGCAGTACTCCAGGTGGGGTCTCACAAGAGTGGAGTAGAGGGGGAGAGTCACCTCCCTCGACCTGCTGGCCACGCTGCTTTTTATGCAGCCCAGGATACAGTTGGCTTTGTGGGCTGCCAGCACACATTGCTAGCTCATGTCCAGCTTTTCATCTACCAATATCCCCAAGTCCTTCTCTACAGAGCTGCTCTCAATCAATTAATCACCCAGTCTGTATTGATATTGGGGATTGTCCCAACCTAGATGCAGGACCTTGCACTTGGCCTTGTTGAACTTCATGAGGTTATAAGGAGGCCAGTTACTTTTGGCTCATGCAGTGCTAGAAGCTGAGAACCCATGCCATATGTAAAAGTCCTGTGACAAGCACTGAAGTCTTGAGGTGAGGTCAGTCTGCAGATTAAGACACCTAGCTTTAGAGGTGTATGTGTGACCTAGACATCTACATTCCCGTTTTGATCAATAGAAATTTAGCCAACGCACACTCTAAAGTCTACAAAGATCAGATTATACAGCTCACCCTACATATGGCCAACTGAATTGATCTCTAGAATACATCAACTGCACTGACTACACCTCCAGTGATGGGAACCTGTCTGACTCATGTGTAGTCACCTGCATTCAAACAACCACTTTTAGGTGTCGGCAGTCTGTAGCTGAATCCCACCACTGCAGCTCAATGGAACCTCATCCATGTGACTGGTATCTCACTTTATTCCCATGCTTGGCTTGCGTATTCTTTCCTGAGTTGTGCTGAGGACTGCTGGGTATTAATGTCTCTGCCTGCCCGCTGTCAGTTTTTATATTAAAAATCAGATTGTTTTCCAGAGAGCTCTTAATAGAAAATAATACCCTGAAAGATTCCATTTTTAAACCTGCTTCCTTCTGAGACAAGAAGATCGTATAATCCAAACAACTGAAGAACAGGTTAACCTTCACTATTTAATTAAATTGATTTCGATAAAAGAACAGAACATTATTTTTAGGCTGCCTGATTTCACTTTGGGTTTAGAGAACTTTCTTAGGCGGATGTTGCCTTGATGACAAAATATTTTATCAGATGCTGAATGGCATAGACCTATTCTAAAGTGGCTGTGTTTTGCTTTTCAGTTTAAAAAATCTCTGCTGTTCCCTATCACATGAAAAATGATTCTTTTTTCCTCCTACATTTTACAATGGGCAATAGAGCTAACCTTGGATCAGTTAATCTTTATATTATCAAGCTTTGCTCATTAAATTTTCTGGCATTTATTTGAACTAACAAGATAAATTACGTGACACTTCCAAACTAAAAACTATCTAGACATAAAAAGTATTTTAGTAAGGAACAAAATGTAAAAATATAGTTCAATTATTTAAAAAGAGACGCTTTTAACTATTTATCAGAATTTTATCTTGACAGCTAATTAGGAGCTGCTGTGTTATCCCTAATTTAATGTCAGCTCAAATTAGGGAGATTCATGAGAAGTCCATTTTCTTGGTGCAATTGATTCTCCCATTGATGAGTTATTGTGAGGAACCATGAGACAAGTCATGAATAATCAAGTCAGCACTGAAATTTAAAGTAATTCAAAAGTATTACAGAAATAAAAAAGCGTGCATTTTGCTTTACTACCACTCAGTGACCTCTTTCTTTTCAGGACATCATTCCAAAAATTCACAGCTGAACTCCTTCTTAAAAGACTTAAGAAAAAATGTTCTTAACTTAAATTTTTCTCATGATAGCAATTGAGTCCTGAATTTTAGAAAGACTATCGGTATCAAGAATTTAAAGTAGCATAGTTACTGTATATACTTAAATAATGTATGGCCAGCAATGGTGTATAAAGTACTTCAAGCTTCATTTGCACTACCTACGTTCTGTCAGGAGAACTGTAATTATATTTTATTCAAATGACTCACCTCAATTTCTTTTCTAAGCTTAGCATGCATTTTTTTCTCTTCTTCCAGAAAATCTGATTTTTTATTGATGAACTCTTTCAATGTTGTGATTTCCCTTTTTAAAAGTGTAATTTCTTCCTGCAGACATAAGTCAAGATACAGAAACCGCCTCCTTAAAAAGTTGCAGAGTACATCTATTAAACTTATTAAAAATGTCACACCTTAACAGTCTCACTTCATTAACAGAGATGAGATAAAGATCTACAATAAACAATTTCACATTAAAACAATAATAATTAAAGTAATAATTTAAGAATTGTAATTAAAATAATTAAAATAATTTATAACATGGCTTTAGATACTTAAGAAGATACACTCTCAATCTGAAATATGCAAATAACTGCAACAATACGGGAATTTAAACTCATTTTGGTGGTCTTAATTTTACTTAAAATGTAATTTATTGAAAAATCAAAGAATATTTAATGCAATGTTTGAGATAGATTTTTCGTTCTCATAGGGAAATACACTGTTACTGAGTCTTTATTTATCAGTATTTAAAGATTTGCTTGTACAACCAAACTTTCATCAATTTACGTGAACAGAGTAACACCAGATTTTCAATAACGCGAGTTGCATCAGAGTTGAAATCTGTGACCCCATTTCAATTTCATACTTGTGTTTGTTCATATATTGGTGAAGTTTTGTGGTGAAAAATTCTTCCATGGTAGTTTTTAATAAGTACAGCAATTAGGGTCAAGTAAAAACAAGAGTGTTAGACTAGAATACCAAAACAAATATATTTTTCCTCTCTCCTTCTTTCTAACACTGTCTCATCAAATCTACCTCCTGTTGGCAAACAGCTCAACTGTAGTTTCTTACCTGAGAGCAAAGTTAAAAGAATACTGTGCTCTTACATGAAAAATGTAACAATATGGCAATGTTGCACAGAATTCTGAAAAGTGTCCATGTAAGTTTATCCAACAACACAAAGAAGCCCACAAATAGTTTGGCAATGATATAGTTTAATTTACAGCTCTGTAATTTTTTTCATAGCTGAGTTCATTCAATCACATAGAATGAACCTGGCTTTTACAATAATATACAGATAACAATGGCTGATGATTTTTTTTACTGCATACTGAAGTCAAAATTTCTTCAATTAATGTAGAATTATAAATGATCTTCCCCATAGAAGGGAATCTATATTCCCATAGTCAGTCGCTCACGAACTGTAAACGTATTAGGCAAAATACTCATATTAGCTGAACTATGCCAAAATTATTTCACACAAAAGGAAAAGAATCAAAGAGGAAATATAGTACCTGCACTTGTTTTATAACAGATCCTTGTGGATTCTGGAGATCACGCATTAACTCCTCTTTCTTTGTCTTTAATTCTTTAACAACAGCTTTCTTTTTAGCAAGCTGAATCATAACTGGCATTTTACTTTCCGTCTCCCGAAAGAGATGTTTATGAGCCTTTATTTTTTCCCGATATTCATTATTTCTTGCAAATGTTGTCTCAAACTCTTCTTGTACTGTTTCTGCATCACGCCTCAGCTTTAAATTTTCAGAATATAGGGCTCTGACTTGGGCCTCCAGATTTTCACAGTGATATTTTGTCACTTCTATGGCATCATCTTGCAGATATATTTCCCTTTCTGTCGTCTTCGTTTCTAACAGAATAGAATCCATCTCTTTTTCTAGTTGCTGAAACTTTGCCTGTAAAATATTTCAGTGTTCACTTAAGAACATTTTTAAGAGGATACTAGGTATCTAGTTAAACACTGTAATTTATATTTATTCAACAGAGTCTTCTTTTTCACTTGTTTAATGTGGCTTGAATGGAAGGTAATTAGAGTTCCATTTCCTAAAATCATCACCTTAGAGGCACAATGCAAGAATACTATCTTAGACTTCTCCCCTTAGACTGAGTCTAAAATATGAAATAAAGTATCCTTGAAATTACCTTAAATTCCTCGTATTTGCAAGATACATAGGTCGTGGCAGATCAAACCCAATCCTAATGTTTGTTTACAGCTGAAATCTGGTTAAGTCCTAATCAGACTAAAAATAACTAATGATGCCAAAAATCACTTACAAACCCACACAAACACACAGATGGGTGTTTGAGGTGATAGAGCTTATTATTTAGCCTGTTCTACTGACGGTTTTAATCCCACCTTCATCTCAGTAGTATTTGAGAGTAGGATTAATCCCAGCTATTTTTAACCCCCTAAGAAATAGGCATCTAATCCTAAAAAGGCCTCTACATCTTCTCACTGATGAGAAGTGAAGAAGTCCAGGGAGTAGTACTTCAACCCATCATAAGAAATCATGGAATCATAGAATCGTTGAGGTTGGAAAAGACCTTTGAGGTCATCGAGTCCAACCGTAAACCTAACACTGCCAAGTCCACCACTAAGCCATGTCCCTAAGCACCACATCTACACATAAACCTAAGATGGGAGGGCTGAACTGCTGCCTCAGAAATGTTTCTCTCTCTTGATGACTACCGAGGGAGCCTAGATGACTAATACAGGCTTAACATCTGACTTGTATGTGATGTAAGGTAACTATGATGAATCCCACCCAAAGTAACAGCCAACAGTAGTGCATTAAGTGAGAGAATTAGCATCGTGATTTATGTCACCTATTATCTTTTCCCTAATGGAAGCATTACGAGTGCTATGAAATCTCTTACTCAATGTCTTGAACAGATTAAGACATTATTAACTGTTAAGAACAAAGTTTCTGCGTAACTTTTAATTTGGAAATCTTGGGCTCTGGTTTTAGCAGGATTTGTATCACTGCCAGCCACCATTTACTGAGGACAGGAAAGCAAAAGATCTTAATGGCAAAGATCTTCAATTTTGGAAAGGAAATTATTGTTTTCCATGTCTTCTGTGACATGCACACATGGGAATAGATGTAAAGATGAAAAAGCAGTTCTGCATTCTGACTTTAAGTTGCTAATTATTTAACTTTGCTGTTCTGCTAACATTAATGTTTGTATGGAATTTCCTAGGGTTTGGGCTTTTTTTAAAGGAAAAGGAAAAGGTGTGGAAGAGGAAGAAAACAAATGAGCTAACTTAATTACCTAGGGCTCTAAAGTTCCGTGGGTTTTTTTGAAAACAGATACCCTTGTTTAAGTTGTTTGATCACAAATTAATTGTTGCAGCATCATCATATTAAATTATGGGATGGTATATAATTAGGAGAAAGCTTCTTGCAAGGTGTGGCCAGTCAATTGACATTCCTAAGCAATAAAAGTTTTCACTGCTCCTTCAGAGAAGTTATCTTTGTACAAAATTTTAAACCCCAATTATTCCAGTTGTAGGGCTATTCACACGTTATAATTGGAACTCTACTATTTCTGTTTGCATTCTCCCATGCTCAAAAATGTCTGAATGCTATTGTGTCTTTCCTCAGACTTAAATGTAAACCTCTCAATAGGAATTTGATCTCAAAGGTTAAATAATAATTGAAATCTTAATAATTTGTGTGAGAGATTAGAACAGAAATGATTACATAGTCTTCAGGAAAACTACATGTATCCAGTGTTCTACAAAATGCTACTAAATAAAACCAGTATTTAATGACTATTTAGGACACCCACTTCAAACACACAGAAAAAAGTATTTTGTATGAAAAAGATGCTACGAAAAAATGAAAGTCTGGTGAAATTCTGCCCAAAAGGATGCTTTTAAAATACATTTTTTCCATTAATTTCTCAGGAAATCACTATGAAAAATTCAAAGAGCTCTAACTTTGTATTGAGTTTTTGTGGGTTTGCTACCTCAGTGTTTTTTGGGGTTTCTTTTGTTTTGGTGTCTTCCAAATAAAAAATAAAAGCTTCTGCTATAACCTGCTCTAATGAAGTCTTAGCTATGTTGCAGCCTTACAAGTAACAATACCCATACACAGTTTTGGCTAAGCCTAAATGTCACAGACAGGAATAGAACAGCTACCTTACGCTTAAATGCAAACACCCAGAAAAAATGAAGTACCATCAGCTTCTCTTGTTCATAGGAATACTTCCTCACCTAATGAAAAAATTAAATGAATTAAACTACTCCAAGCAAGGCTTATTACCTGCAATTGGAAAAGAACTGTTTTGCTTTTTTCTATCTCTGATGCTTGTGAATGCTGCTGCTCTGCTACTTGTTTTACAACTTCAATTAGTGATGGAGAATTTTGTTCAGCCATTTTAGGCAAAAGTGCAGAACTATAAGGACATAAAAAATAATTGAATTCTTTTATCACCATCCTATTTAATTCCTGTTAATGAAAGAGAACAGTATTAAGGCCTTTCCTATGGCATCCCAGATCATTTCATTATTTCATTCAGTTCGTTTTTCATTTACAGGAACAGGTTACTGATGGGTGGATGCTCAAAGCAAGTGATCGAGAATTAGAACACTTCCATGCAGAGTTTTATAAAATAAAGTATTGCAGTGTTCTTCTGGCTTCTCCACAGGTCAGATCCTCAGTTTGTGAATACAGTCATAGCTCTTAAAATCATCTTAAGAGCATCTTAAATGCATGAGAGCATGCTCTCATATTTAGCCTGAGTATTTACATTATTGCAGTTACCATACAGCAACTGCCTGCTATATTAACTATTAAACTATCCTTAATGTAAGATAAACAATGTTGAGAAAGCTGCCACACTGAAAGTCACAAACTAGTACCACTGAAAAGATCCCCTCCACAGTGATCAGAAAATGTTTAGTGCTATCTTTTTATCACTTCGGATAGAGTAAGTTAATGAAGAAAATCTGTATTGTTACATAAAGTGACATCGAACTCTCAAGAAAATGCAATGAGTGTGGCACAAGTGCATCTTCAGGCCCAATATGTTAAGTGGCACTCAGATGACCCACGAACTGTGCCTGGAGCTTGGCAATCTTGACGAGGAAACCGCACCTCTCATGTTCTGTTTAGGGCTGTTGCAACGGTTGTGCTGACACCCCTCACTTCTCCCCTCCATCCCGCTCAAGCGCTCCACACCCCCCAACACCACGCAGGCCTGCCCCTGCGGCACACAGTCCCAAACCCTCCGAAGGCACTGAAAGGCGAACAGAGCGGAGCCAGGCGCCCTAGCACGACGAGGCTACCTCCCTCCACCACCACCTCCTCCGCCGCTGGGCGAGGAGGGCGAGCAGCGCCCCCCGG